GACCATACGAAATGCATGGAAGCTCCTAACCTCCAGTCGACGCGCAACCGGCAAGAAAGAGAACCTAGGACCAGGAAAGGCACCGGCCGCGCAGGAGAAGACCACGGGCTGAGGTGGGCGATTACCCCCGTTCCTGAAGCGAGGCCCAGCTAAGGGACCTGTGCGCCACCAGTCACAGAGAGGCAACCTGCCTGGCAGGGAAGAAGTATGGACTGGCTTCCGGCAGCTGAGATCAGCTGCCTTTCACCTTCCACATAGAACCACCGGCCCTGCTTGGCCCTGTCGCATGCGTGCAAACGCTCCCGTGTCCGAAAGTCATTCGTGGGGGACCACTTTTGTATGGGGTGGTCCGTGCGTCCACCCGTTTTCCCATACAAAGTGGGCCACCCAACTTCGCCCCCTACCCGGGCTGTAAGGGACTTAGGCGTTTTCGCGTGCCGCCGTCCGCCCATACGTGGCCGAACGGCCCGGTGTAACACCGCCCTCGGCCGCTGTCGCCCTCCCTCTCCCGCCCTCCGACCCGTGCACCACGCGCTCTCTGCCTGTGGGAGTCTGGCACTCCGCGACACCCCCGATCACGTGACCCGCCGCGCAACGTGAGGCTTTGGCAGCCGTCCGGATGTGCAACCCAGATCGATGTCATCGCTCTCCCGGTCATCCCAGGGGTGTGTAGACGTGCCTGCGTCGTCATACAGGCGTCTGTGTGTCTGTCTGCTGGGGCTGTGGACATCCGTATGCGGATGCGTTGGGGTGTCCGGGGGGGTAGGGTTATATATATCGGTGCGAGTGAGGGTGTGTGCACCAACATGACGGTGGGAGACGTGTGAGGTGTGGATATATATATTTGGCCTGCGTGTGTGTCGACGCGTACGCAAGGGCGCAGTGGCGGTCGATGACCGGCTAGAAGCCGTGCGGCGTCCCGCACGCCCTGCCGACGTACCCCCTTCCCTCCCCGGCACCGCCTCCCGAGCACCACCCTCGCACCCCCGGCGCCCAGCGTCGACCCTTCCCCCTCCCACGCGGGAATGGCACCCCCGGCCGCCTCCCTCCGCGTCGCCGGGCCCCACCCCTGCCCGTTTTCTCCCGCGGCGCCTCTCATGATTCAATTTCACCAGCCAACTGGCAAATCCCCTTTGCCAGCACGCACCCCTGCGCGGGCCCTGGACGCCAGCCCCAACGCTCACCCGCAACCGCGGGGCGCCGGGCACCTGCCTGGCCCCCGCCGTGAGCGCCGGCCGGCCAGCCGCCCTTGCCCTACAGGTCCTCCGGACCCACGTCGCCTGCCATCGTGCGTGCAAACGCTCCGGTGTCCGAAAGTGATTCGTGGGGGGTCGTGGAGGCCCACCGCATTCCTATATTGAGGGACCTGTGCGCTGCAGGTGCCGGCGCCCCGCGGTTGCGGGTGAGCGTTGGGGCTGGCGTCCAGGGCCGCGCAGGGGTGCGTGCTGCGGATTTGCCAGTTGGCTGGGTGAAATTGAATCATGAGAGGCGCCGCGGGAGAAAACGGGCAGGGGTGGGCCCGGCGACGCGGAGGAGGCGGCCGGGGTGCCATTCCCGCGTGGGAGGGGGAAGGGTCGACGCTGGGGCGCCGGGGTGCGAGGGTGGTGCTCGGGAGCGGTGCCGGGGAGGAAGGGGTACGTCGGCAGGGCGTGCGGGACGCCGCACGGCTTCTAGCCGGTCATCGACCGCCACTGCGCCCTTGCGTACGCGTCGACACACACGCAGGCCAAATATATATATCCACACCTCACACGTCTCCCACCGTCATGTTGGTGCACACACCCTCACTCGCACCGATATATATAACCCTACCCCCCCGGACACCCCAACGCATCCGCATACGGATGTCCACAGCCCCAGCAGACAGACACACAGACGCCTGTATGACGACGCAGGCACGTCTACACACCCCTGGGATGACCGGGAGAGCGATGACATCGATCTGGGTTGCACATCCGGACGGCTGCCAAAGCCTCACGTTGCGCGGCGGGTCACGTGATCGGGGGTGTCGCGGAGTGCCAGACTCCCACAGGCAGAGAGCGCGTGGTGCACGGGTCGGAGGGCGGGAGAGGGAGGGCGACAGCGGCCGAGGGCGGTGTTACACCGGGCCGTTCGGCCACGTATGGGCGGACGGCGGCACGCGAAAACGCCTAAGTCCCTTACAGCCCGGGTAGGGGGCGAAGTTGGGTGGCCCACTTTGTATGGGAAAACGGGTGGACGCACGGACCACCCCATACAAAAGTGGTCCCCCACGAATGACTTTCGGACACGGGAGCGTTTGCACGCATGCGACAGGGCCAAGCAGGGCCGGTGGTTCTATGTGGAAGGTGAAAGGCAGCTGATCTCAGCTGCCGGAAGCCAGTCCATACTTCTTCCCTGCCAGGCAGGTTGCCTCTCTGTGACTGGTGGCGCACAGGTCCCTTAGCTGGGCCTCGCTTCAGGAACGGGGGTAATCGCCCACCTCAGCCCGTGGTCTTCTCCTGCGCGGCCGGTGCCTTTCCTGGTCCTAGGTTCTCTTTCTTGCCGGTTGCGCGTCGACTGGAGGTTAGGAGCTTCCATGCATTTCGTATGGTCGCGCCCGTGACCCCTGAGATAGTAACAGTGTGAGTTCGAGTCGCTAGCCAGGTCGGCGCCAGCTTAATCATGCCCGGGAGTGCCCGTTGTTGCTGGGGTGTCTGAAGTCCGGGGGCCGTTCTCGGTCCCCGGCACCGATGGAGTCTGTGGATCGTTGGCCGCTGGCCAGCCTTCTTATACAGATTCCCGGGGGGAGCCGCCCTGCGGGAGCCGCTGTTCGTCAGCGTGTCCGCAGGGTCTGGACCCTCCACCCGAGGGCCGTATGCCGCAGCCTGCCAGCGCCTGCAAAGGCGATTCTGGCGGGGTCACCTGCGTGCGGACCGGTTCCTGGGGGGCTACAGTGGGGGCAATTGGATGGTCATCTGTGTGCTCCCGGTACGCCGGGGGTGTCGCTGTGGCCGGACACTTCGTGTGTCCCTTCCAGATGGAAGCCTATGTAACATGCTGCCCCTTCGGGGGCTTTGGGAGGCGTTTCGGGCAGTGCTTTAACAGGTATCTGCCCGGGCGCAGCCTGCAGGAACTAGGTATCTGGTTGATTCTGCCAGTAGTCATATGCTTGTCTCAAAGATTAAGCCATGCATGTCTAAGTGTAAGCAATTTATACTGTGAAACTGCGAATGGCTCATTAAATCAGTTATCGTTTATTTGATAGTACCTTACTACATGGATACCTGTGGTAATTCTAGAGCTAATACATGCTGAAAACCTCGACTTCGGAAGGGGTGTATTTATTAGATAAAAAACCAATGCCCTTCGGGGCTCCTTGGTGAATCATAATAACTTAACGAATCGCATGGCCTTGCGCCGGCGATGGTTCATTCAAATTTCTGCCCTATCAACTTTCGATGGTAGGATAGTGGCCTACCATGGTGGCAACGGGTAACGGGGAATTAGGGTTCGATTCCGGAGAGGGAGCCTGAGAAACGGCTACCACATCCAAGGAAGGCAGCAGGCGCGCAAATTACCCAATCCCGACACGGGGAGGTAGTGACAATAAATACTGATACGGGGCTCTTTTGGGTCTCGTAATTGGAATGAGTACAATTTAAATCCCTTAACGAGGAACAATTGGAGGGCAAGTCTGGTGCCAGCAGCCGCGGTAATTCCAGCTCCAATAGCGTATATTAAAGTTGTTGCAGTTAAAAAGCTCGTAGTTGAACCTTGGGTCTGGCTGGCCGGTCCGCCTCACCGCGAGTACTGGTCCGGCTGGACCTTTCCTTCTGGGAACCTCATGGCCTTCACTGGCTGTGGGGGGAACCAGGACTTTTACTGTGAAAAATTAGAGTGTTCAAAGCAGGCCTTTGCTCGAATACATTAGCATGATAATAGAATAGACGTGTGTTCTATTTGTTGTTTCTAGACCGCCGTAATGATTATAGATATCGGGGCGTCAGTATTCGAGCAAAGCCTGCTTTGAACACTCTAATTTTTTCACAGTAAAGTCCTGGTTCCCCCACAGCAGTGAAGCATGAGTTCCAGAAGAGGTCCAGCCGGACCAGTACTCGCGGTGAGGCGGACCGGCCAGCCAGACCCAAGGTTCAACTACGAGCTTTTTAACTGCAACAACTTTAATATACGCTATTGGAGCTGGAATTACCGCGGCTGCTGGCACCAGACTTGCCCTCCAATTGTTCCTCGTTAAGGGATTTAAATTGTACTCATTCCAATTACGAGACCCAAAAGAGCCCGTATCAGTATTTATTGTCACTACCTCCCCGTGTCGGGATTGGGTAATTTGCGCGCCTGCTGCCTTCCTTGGATGTGGTAGCCGTTTCTCAGGCTCCCTCTCCGGAATCGAACCCTAATTCCCCGTTACCCGTTGCCACCATGGTAGGCCACTATCCTACCATCGAAAGTTGATAGGGCAGAAATTTGAATGAACCATCGCCGGCGCAAGGCCATGCGATTCGTTAAGTTATTATGATTCACCAAGGAGCCCCGAAGGGCATTGGTTTTTTATCTAATAAATACACCCCTTCCGAAGTCGAGGTTTTCAGCATGTATTAGCTCTAGAATTACCACAGGTATCCATGTAGTAAGGTACTATCAAATAAACGATAACTGATTTAATGAGCCATTCGCAGTTTCACAGTATAAATTGCTTACACTTAGACATGCATGGCTTAATCTTTGAGACAAGCATATGACTACTGGCAGAATCAACCAGATACCTAGTTCCTGCAGGCTGCGCCCGGGCAGATACCTGTTAAAGCACTGCCCGAAACGCCTCCCAAAGCCCCCGAAGGGGCAGCATGTTACATAGGCTTCCATCTGGAAGGGACACACGAAGTGTCCGGCCACAGCGACACCCCCGGCGTACCGGGAGCACACAGATGACCATCCAATTGCCCCCACTGTAGCCCCCCAGGAACCGGTCCGCACGCAGGTGACCCCGCCAGAATCGCCTTTGCAGGCGCTGGCAGGCTGCGGCATACGGCCCTCGGGTGGAGGGTCCAGACCCTGCGGACACGCTGACGAACAGCGGCTCCCGCAGGGCGGCTCCCCCCGGGAATCTGTATAAGAAGGCTGGCCAGCGGCCAACGATCCACAGACTCCATCGGTGCCGGGGACCGAGAACGGCCCCCGGACTTCAGACACCCCAGCAACAACGGGCACTCCCGGGCATGATTAAGCTGGCGCCGACCTGGCTAGCGACTCGAACTCACACTGTTACTATCTCAGGGGTCACGGGCGCGACCATACGAAATGCATGGAAGCTCCTAACCTCCAGTCGACGCGCAACCGGCAAGAAAGAGAACCTAGGACCAGGAAAGGCACCGGCCGCGCAGGAGAAGACCACGGGCTGAGGTGGGCGATTACCCCCGTTCCTGAAGCGAGGCCCAGCTAAGGGACCTGTGCGCCACCAGTCACAGAGAGGCAACCTGCCTGGCAGGGAAGAAGTATGGACTGGCTTCCGGCAGCTGAGATCAGCTGCCTTTCACCTTCCACATAGAACCACCGGCCCTGCTTGGCCCTGTCGCATGCGTGCAAACGCTCCCGTGTCCGAAAGTCATTCGTGGGGGACCACTTTTGTATGGGGTGGTCCGTGCGTCCACCCGTTTTCCCATACAAAGTGGGCCACCCAACTTCGCCCCCTACCCGGGCTGTAAGGGACTTAGGCGTTTTCGCGTGCCGCCGTCCGCCCATACGTGGCCGAACGGCCCGGTGTAACACCGCCCTCGGCCGCTGTCGCCCTCCCTCTCCCGCCCTCCGACCCGTGCACCACGCGCTCTCTGCCTGTGGGAGTCTGGCACTCCGCGACACCCCCGATCACGTGACCCGCCGCGCAACGTGAGGCTTTGGCAGCCGTCCG